TACATACATACATACATACATACATACATACATACATACATACATACATACATACATACATACATACATACATACATACATACATACATACATACATACATACATACATACATACATACATACATACATACATACATACATACATACATACATACATACATACATACATATATATCTGTGTGTGTGTATTGAAACAGTAGTTATTTGCAATTCAATATATTTGAAAATTGGTGTAGAGTTTAATAATTAAAAAATGATATATTTACAAACTACATCAATAGTTCTACAAAACAAGTGATTGCTTGACTATTTTATTTTATTAAGCGATCATTGAGAATGTGTAAAGAGAGAAGATATAGTTTGCCATTAGTATAGTAAAGAGGAACCTTATTTTCAGACAGAGGGAGTATTTCTTAACAGGTTCTGTTGATGTTTTTTTCCAATTGAACATTCTTCTATTTGCTATACCATGCTATTATGGTATTAGATCAGACTTTTTTGGTGACTCACACGAAGGCATTTCCTTGGTGACAATATTATACTAGGCTTCAGTTAAATCTACTTGAACCATCAATGGCTAAATGACTCTTTTAAGTATTATAAAAAATACAAAAACTAGTTTTAACTTCATTTGGATGGTTTAAATACTCCAACGACAGTAGTTATTTTTCGATAAGTATGACACTAACTATTTGACTCTCCAATTTATAACCTCATTAAAAAATAGTACTCCCTCCGTCCGAAAATATTCTTCTCATTTGACTTTTCTTAGTCAAAGTTTGTAAACTTTGACTATGACATGTGAAAAAAATACATTGTATTGTGATATAACTTTAATATGAATATATTCATTTTGAAATATAGTTTTCAAATATCAAATTTTTATAAAATATATCCATGTATAAATAAAGATATTAGTGGTCAAAGTGCAATCTTGGAGACCGTAAAAAGTCAAATGGGAAGAACATTTCCGGACGGAGGGAGTAGCTGTTTTCTTTTTCCAACAATCTATTCCAGTCGTAGTTCAAAATGTAAAGAAGAGAAATAAAGAATGGATAAAAAATAAGATAGCTAGTCTTGAAGAATCAACAAGCTTGACTAATGGAGAGGAACTCACTTATAAAATAACTAGCCACAACCGAATTTTGGAGTTATATACTAGCTATTCAACTAGTTAAATTTAACAACATACACAAATAACTAATTGCATTGGAGAATTGAGGTATTTGTAGATTTAAAAAATGTGTAGCATCCCAGACTAGATGAGCATAACAAGAACTTGGAAGATTAGGGTCATCATGAGCTCGTGATTTTGACACTTGTTGGTCAAGGATTACTACAACTTAAATACGCAGAAAAGATAATATTGTTTACCCATGCTATAAAAAACATTATAGCATAGCTTAAAAAAAGAAAGAAAAGCAAGCACCTTAAAATATACAATATACTCCCTCCGTCCCAAAAAATTGTCTCACTTCACTATTAGTGAAATAGCTCTGATGCCCTTTGTGGTTTAGAAAATAGGCAACATTACCCCGTCTATTTTCAAAACATATTTATAAAACTCCTATGCTATTAAAATGTTGCACACGCACCCCTATGATTATATTCTGTTCATTTTTCCAGTAAAGATGGGGTATTGTTCCCTACTTTCCAACCCACATGGGCACCAAAACCACAGAATGATCATGTGGCTATATTTGTTAGCAGAGTGGGGACGACACAAATCGACTACCTTCTCCTGCGCAAGTGTGATCGGCGCTTTGCAAAGATGTTAAAGTACTCCCAAGGGATGGATGTCATGATGAGGTGGGTGAGGCAAATGGGGGCTGCAGGTGGCACAACACGTATCCGCTGGAGGAACTTGGGCGGGGAGAAAATCGTAGAGTTGATCCCGCATGTGCAAGAGAAAGGCACGTGGGAGTCCTCCAAGAAGGCCACTGACATGCTTTTTTGTTTCTCTTCTTCCTTCTACTTGTTTCCTTATTTCATAAAGTTTTTTTAAATTTCTCTTGGGAAATTGTTTTTAAAATGTTTAAAAAATTCAAAACTGTTAGGTATGTAAAAGAATGAAATGAAAAAAAATTAACATACACTCCATCTCTCTCAAATTAAACTTTTTTTTGTTTTCCAAAATTAAAAGAAAAACTTTTTTGGGACGTGCATAACAAATGACGAACAAATATAAAAAGAAAAACTTTTTTGGGACATTCAAAAGAAATGACAAACAGAAAAAAGAAATAAAGTAAAAAGAAAAAATAGAAAAGGGGGGTGAAAAAAATACCAAAAAAAATACTCTTATAAAAAAGGGAAGACATACCCATGTTCGCAGATTAGGTTTTTTGGGACGTCCAAAAAATTAAATTTTTTAAATAATATCTGGCTTGTACAAAATATAGGTTTTAAATTAAGAAATAGATGGATTTGTCTTTTAGTAAAAAGAAGTTTTTTTCTTGGATTTTCAAAAAATAAAATGAGGAATAGAAACTTGATTTAAAATAATAAAAAAAATAGAAAAAATGAAATGAAAAAGAAAACAATACAAAAAACACTCTTATAGAAAAGGGAAAAATAGTCATGGAGTACGTTCATAAAGTTTCTTTTCAGGATCTCCAAAAAAACCGTATTTTCTTTTTGGGGTGTCCCGAAAAGGTTATTCTTTTTTATTTTAAAATATAAAAAAGGACATTTAAAAAAATAAAAAATTAATAAAAAATTTTTAATATGCACTCTATCACTAATTTATAAATGGACATGTAGAATTATGTCAAGATTTAAATGGAAGGGTATTTTTTCACTGTAAAGTTTAAAATAATTGTTTAATACCCCTAGTGCCCCCCTTTATCATAGTTCCAAACGCACACTTGAAGTGTGAATGTTAAGCGCCTAGAAATCACCAGTGAAGGGGGTATGTATACGTGCAAGCTTTTGAAACCACACGGGTTTTAGAAATTAGTTTTGAAAATAGAGAGGGTATCAATGCCCATTTTCCAAACCACAAGGGACACTAGAGCTATTACACCCTTCACTATTCACGGGCCAAACTTTATCTTCTTTCTTTACTTATTTTCGCTAATTATTTGTAATAACAACACAGTCATGTCACCTCTTGTCTTACAAAGAATTTGATGTAATATTTTAATATATAAATTTTATTTTGAAATTTTGTACCATTATTTAAATGAATAGGATTGAAAACAAAATCAGTAAAGCCTCGTTATCTGTAAAGAGATGATTATTTTGGGAGTAGTTGTTAACCTAAACATATACTCCTAATAAGCTTTTTGCCAGCAACAAACAGAAATTTTGTGGTTTAGAAGAACTGATCTTGACATAACAGGTTATAGTCATGGGTAAAACATTGTGCCAGAAAAGGAGGATAAGCTACCATAATCCAATGAAGGATTTTGGAGAAAGTGTACTAATAATAGTTATAATAGTAAATCAAGAACTCCACACCTCCATAGCGAGAACCGTGAACCTTCGTGTATATTTTTGAAAGGATATGTTTTCATTTAAGCAACTACACTGTGGACTCGTGGAAAGAAGTGACCAAATAGTGAAAAAATAATAGTTTAAAAGGAATCTCAGGGATAGGCCAAGGTACCTGTCCTATACTTGCTGCTGCCATTGGTTCGTAGTCAAAACTCTTTAGCTTAGTTGACCAATCAGGGCCTAACTCAGTATCAAGAACTTTATTGAGTTGGCTCCTAGGCATCACATCTGCACCCTGACGAACAATGTCCAAAGCAGCCAAGATCTACAATCACGCATGAAATTTCATTATCATACTGCAATAGCATCACCAAGAAAGTAAGAGCATGAAAAGAAAATAATAAACTCCAGCAAGAGAACAATGCCACAACAAAAGCAACAACAACAACAACTCAGTAGAATCCCACAACAAAAAAAGAGGCAGTAAATGGCAATTTTGATGTATTTATCAAAATGTTGAAAACCTACTGCTCCACTCTGTCAAACAAAAAATACAGTACAACTCCACAAATTTACAGCAGTTGTATTTTAGTTTATTGTTTATCCAAAAATAATTCACCTGAAAATTGGAAGTCATTCCACATGAAAGAAAAGTATAATTGAGTGTATCTTTTAATATGTGTTTCCTTTTGAAGTCATGTATAGTACTCAGCATCATTTTTAATAGGTGGGGAGTCAAATTTTAATGCTTGATCTTTAGTGTCCACTCATCAGCCATCCCATTTTCCTATGACTTCTACGACATCTTCATACTCTTCATTTTCCCTGTTACTTTTTCATCCACTTACACTTGTATATTGCATAGTAGTTAAATAACTAAGTGTCACTCTTGAACTCAAAAGTAGCCATCTTAAACAAGTACACAGTACACTCAATAACTGCCTCATGATCATTTGGATTGTTTAGCCATATATAAACATGGTCTGGGGAAGGAAAGGAAGAGTTGTGCTATCGTAGTCCTAAGGTCCACATGTGTAATGTGGGCCTTCTCACATATTTTTTATGGACTCATAGTTGGATCTCTCTCGTTTTACAAGGCCCAATACATTTAATCATTTCATGTCTCAAGGTCCATAAAATAAGTATGGATCTATGGACCACAAGAGAATTTTCTGGAAAAGGAAAATTTGTTTGAGAGAATAGAAATTGCATCTAACAGAATGTCCTGATTTCTGCCCCAGCTGCACGAAATTTCCCATAAGTAAAACTACAATAGAATTGATCCTTGTATTTATAGTCCTGTACTCCTGTTACACCCAATCCACATTCATTGAATGATGTAAATATTGAAACTACAGTGATAGAATGAATATGATCCAGTACCGGAGCAGGTACAATAGATTCATCTTGGATGCTCAACATCTGTCCCATTTTAAGAGCTGCTCCACGCATTCTGCACAATGCAAGAGCCAAACGTTCTGCATTTTTTTCGGATAAGTAAGGAGAAAGAGCATGTTGATTGTCCTTTGAAGTTGGGGAACCAAAGATAAGTCGCTTCGTGGATTCTTGAAGGGTGCCCCATGCAAGTCCAGCCCCAAGGCCTGCAAATCTTCAAATGAAACGGGAAAATAGATCAAACAACAATAAAAATTGAGCCAGCGCAAGCAATTTGCATGAAGGAGCTACCCAAATTTCGGTAACCCGCTTAATCCTCCATCAAGAGATTTCACTCAGGTTTTCTTATTTTTTCTTTCCCTTCTCATATTTTTGTATCATGTCCACTACAAACACGTTACATTGGAACCTAATTGGGAGGTTATTATCCCAAATGACAGTTGCTCAATCTACTTGGTAATGGTAGTGATAATGATGTGAAATCAGGGAAGTCTTACCCAAGCGCTCTAGAAAGAGGAGTAGAAGGCACCCTCCTCTCCCTAGGTTTCCTCATCTGCCTCTTGATCTCTGTTCGGGAAGTAGGGGCACCAGCTGTAAGATTTCGTTGGGTAGAAGGCGCGTCCTCTAGAGGAGAGGGGTGAGGATCACCGCCAACTGATGTACCAGCAGGTGTCTGTAAAGGCGGAGACACCTCTTCAATGGCAAACTCCGAATCCTTGGTGATGCTGACGTCATTGGAATCGGGAGAAGGGTTTTGATCCGGCTGGGGTGAACTATCCACGAAGTACACGACGCTTTGTCTGGTCGCGTTGAGATAAGAATCGGAATTAGGATCAATATCTGAGGCGGCGTCGGCGGCGGCGGAAGTGGTACGAGCATCTTCGAAACGCCGAAACCTGCCCTTGGTGAGGCCGGTCAGATCGGTGGCGGAGAGAAGAGTTGTCTTGATGAGGCTTTGCAAATCCGCCCCGTCATTGAGCCGTTGGCGTCGAGCAGCCTCTTTGGCCACAAGGGACAGCCCATTCACCACCCGAGCCAAGTTCTTGACCAGCAACTGCATATCTAACGGTCACCCACTGCTCATATCGCTATGCTCTATTTGCCTTAGCCCACCACGGACGGAAGCTCTGTTTGTTTCTTCCAGGGGGTAAGGCTCAATTAGTTAAAGACTTCGACCTTGTATGGGAATAGCTTTAGCGATTAGCGTTAGCGTTTTGAAAAGACTATCTATGGACAGGGTTTAGCGTTAGCGTTTTTAAAATAATCTGCACCGTTAAAGTTTTATCCAAAACGCTAACGCTAATCTCTAACGTTATTCCCAAACAAGCCCTTGTTTAGGGGTGCACCGTCAGTCCGCCACCGTCCAAGTTTACGGCCTGGGCGAGTACATACACCACACATTCAAATCTATCATCTTTTGCACTAGTCTTTTTTTTAACCACCACGGTCCAAGTTTTTGTCTTTTTTACCTCACTTTTGTGTGATTCTATTGGATTGTTGTTGTTTAGAGTCTTCATTTTAAATAACTTAGTACTTATTTACGAGTATAATCAAATTTTTAAAAAAATGAGTATTCAGTTACTCCAAAATGAATATTTTGTTGTTCAAAAATGAGTATTCAATTACTCGTAAATGAGTACTCAATACGGATGTAAGAGAAATATTATACAACCGGTTGTACGAAATATATTGAGGCATCGGGCACATCTCAACTACAAAGGCTGGCATTGCTGGTAACCTATAGAGCAGAGATTTTAATGGTAAGGTGAGATTGTCATGTTATAGCACATCTCGCTATTTCTCTCTTCCACCAACCCTGGGATCGAAGTGTGGGAAAATCGGGGGTGGGGTTCTACTTTTTTTTTTGTTTGGTGGTGTGTTATACTCCCTCCCATAAAAAGTATATTAGCGGTTTTATGAGAAATATTTACGGTCAAATGTTTTTTATGATCTGAAAGTAGTGTCGATCAACGATGTTAGGAGAAGAGCAAAACAGAAGGGCAGAGCGAGAGAGGAGCCATGGAGAATGACATCGGAATCCTAGCCCCAGCTCTTAGCTCTATTGACGAGCGAGAGAGGGTCAATGGAGAAGGTATAGCAAAAAGGAGCTAGTAATAATTGACAGCGATATTAGATTACATTTTGAAACCCTAGCTTCTATCTGCACCAACGATGACCGACTTAGTTGAGATCTCCACGAGTATAAAAATAAATATTAAGTTACTAGTAAATGTGCATGTTGTATTATCATGATGAATATTATGTGGCTTTCAAATGTATATACATTTATTATTACATATATGAAAATGAATATTGTATTTCTCGCAAATGAACATTTGACTGATGTAGAACCAAAATAAAAAATATGTGAAAATATGCATTCAGTTACTCTTTAATGAAAATTGATCAGATATACCTAGAGTATTGTACATTCTCTTATACAGTATATGAACTCATCATAAAAATATTTCACTTCTTTTTCATTCGCTCCAAAAAAACTTTACTGTCTTTTCAAACAAAAGAATTTGTGGCTAAGAAAATTGTCACTCCTCTTAATCAATACTAACCACACTTCTCACTTTTTAACACTTTTTTCAAACTTTGAGAAAGCCAGCGTGGATAAGGTGTAAGTTCGTGGGGGCGTAGTGGAAATCACCAATTAAGAGCTACGCAAACAAATCAACCAGCTATGATGTAGATAAGATAGTGCAACACTGTCACAGTAACAAATGACAGACAGTGTGATATAACACACTTCTCTGTCAAAAGCACACACAAAAGCAGATGATGCAGAGGGTGTTACAGTGCCTACTGGACAGAATGTTGTAACTATAAAATGCGTAAAAAATAACACCAGATATGTTTATGCAGTTCGGAGCAAATTCTCCTACATCTACGGGGGCCATGTCCGTGTAATAGCCCTCCACTAAATCACTAAATGCAAGTTACACCGGTACATAACAACATGATGAGACACACTTCTACGAATTGTTATGACAAAACTTCTAATCTAGGATTTCTAACCCGTACCCTGTATAGATTCGCTTCGGCTATCACATCTCCACCGAGATCACGAAGAAAAATGTGTTGGCAGCCCTCTCCTTAAGCTCTGGTTCATCTCCTGGTTGTCACGATCTATTTTTCGTTGTAGGACTCCTTTTTCATGTAGATCGTAACTTTTTTCACGCAAGCGAAGCTCCGGGACGCGACGGGAACACTCTACATCAGCGTATATTTTTTGTTTTCCCTCTCGATCGCTCCGAGTAATTCTCAGGGACCTGCTGCGATTTTATAGGCTTCATTTAACACAATCCTAGTAAAAATAGGTTAGTAGAAGTTGGCCTGAATACAACTTCCTTAATCATGATCCCAAGTAGCCTAAAGAGTTGGGATTCCTTAGCATGTACAGCTAGAATTATTATCATGTAATCATAATCCCAATATGTTTCTGATTCAGATTGCAGCTTAAAATCATGTGCTCAGACTTTTGATCCCGAACATTGTGTTGCAGCATCGTGTTGGAGCATCTTCTATGTCAACCTTGAAAACTGCAACAACTTTCGAAGTCTAAATAAAATAAACCTCTCTTAACAAATAGAGGTTTCTACCTAGTAAAACACCTAACAAATATGGGATTCTATTTTTCCAAAAGATTAGCCAACACCATGGAACTAACATATTTTTTATGGGACGAAGGGAGTACATGGATCTAGGGTATCTTCCGTTCAATTTATTTTTCTACTTATTGCTTATTCTTATTAAAATTAGATCATACTAGATGATATCTAATAAGATCAAACAATATTAAATCAGATTAGAAACAGCTGTAAATATAACTACAATAAGATTAGATCAGATCAAACCAAATTAGACTAGATGAGTTCTAATCAGATCTAATCGGATCTAATCAGGTTCAATCAGATCAGACAAACAGAACGTAACCCTACTTTAATAACTTTAATAAAAGTGCAAAGAATTCAACTTTTTAAGTTTATTCAATTTTAACATTTTAAAGTATATACAATTTTACTCCGTATATGTTTTTAATTCAGATTTTAGAAAATCTAAAAGGGTCTGTTTGGTATACAGAATTGACGGAATTGGAATTGAATTGGTAGTTGGAATTTTATAGAATTGATTTGGAAGAAATTAAATTCTCTAATTCTAGTTCATTTTTTTGCGCTACCACTTCCAAATCGACATATTTTTATCCTACCAAACAGTAGAATTAGAATTGTCTTCCTCAATTCTAATTCTATAGTTTGAATTCCATGTACCATGCCGAGCCTACGAGTATCTTTATTTGTTCCTATCAATTCCCTCCCCCCCCCCCTTTTATTGTCACATCACTATCCACCTTATATAAATTGAATAATTTTAATTCGATTCGTGATTCGTATTCAAAATCAATTATTCGTATTTGGAAAACTAGATAAAAATAAGAATATGTTATGTACAAATGTCTTTTGATGTTCTTCAAGTATTTTGATAATCCTCATTAAGTTAGACCTTTGTTTTCCCCTTTGTAAGCCTATATAGAGGCTCTATATGTTGAAATGAGATATCCTTCTATTTGATCTCTCATTGCATTTTTTCTCCTTTGATTCATCATTGCCCTTGCCATGTTATGCTGTGCAAACTGGCCTAGGATCCTCAAAAGTTTGTTGTATTGTTCCATGACTGGTCAAGAGTCGACCATCTTATAGTTGTAAAAATTACTGACAAGGAACTTCTTTCTAGAAGCATCCTCGGTCATATACTTTTCCTCTAAAACGAACAGTAACTTTGCAGATTCAACATTTTGATAAACATCAAACAGAGAGTGAGACATACCATTTAGAATGTAACGCCCCAAAACATACCCTAATATTTATTGAATTAAATATTCAATTAAATAAATTTTTTTTGATTAAAAATAAATTGTTGTTGGGCCTTGGGCCAAAATAAAATATGTTTTGATATCCAATATCATAATCTGGATAAATCTCATAGAGATAAATCCAATATGTTGACTTACTGTGTGACCTTGATTGAGAACCTGAGTACAGACCCAAATCAAGAATAAATGAAGAATTTGTTTGTGATGTAAACTTTGAAATGATTTATGGAAATAAATAATGAGAATAAATAATATGAATGAAATGTAAAAACCTTTCTGAATAAAGGTCAACAAAATCAATTTTGACTATGTCAAAGTCAACCACCTAAAAATATGATGTCGGAAAAAGTATTACAAATAAATATGAAAATTATATCGTTCGATAGAGTTTAATTATACGATCGCAACGGTGCAAACGGATTTCAATTCGGAGAAAGTTGGACCAAAAAGTGTTCCTCGACTGGGACCAAATTAGTCCCAATCAGAGACTTACGTTTAAAATCTGGAGGAACCGTAGCCCCCTCCACTGAGACGCCGAAACAGGAATGGATACATCATCACCTTGGCCTCTTCCTCCATACAGCTTGGTAAGATACATGTAGCCAGTGGAGGTAGATATCTCTCGAATCTGTGTGGTATGGGACACACAGCTTGGGGAGATACATACAGCCAACTCATGATCCTTGGGAACCCTCGCGCGTGAACGGTGGCGAAGCGTTACTCCCCACCTAAGGGCTCAAGCAATTGAGTGCTTTGATAGGACCAAATTGTAGCCACATAGATGTGTTACAATTTGGTACCGGAGCAAATGGTTTTAAAACCGATCTTCGGATCAAAAATTTGAATTAAAAAAAAAATTGTCAATCACATCCACGACTCTCGCGTCCCTCTGCTCCAGGAAAAAGGTATGAGAATTTACTTGGTAAATAATGACTCTATTAGAATTCTCATTAAATAACAATTGATTAGTACTGAAACCGTATCGAGCGTAGACTCTAGTTGAACTTTTGTACTCGGTGAAGAGACGAAAGAATAAACGATATGTTTATAATCTCCTGATACGTTATCAACGTACATTTCGCATCGCAAATGACGAAACTGATCTGCATCGCAAAATTGTACGAAAGTGAGACGACTATGAAGAAACGATAAATGTTGAGAAACATCTGTGAAGCTGATGTCAAAGATCCTCATGTGGACTCAAGACGATCTAATTGCTGATTCAAACACGAACATTTAGAATCAATAAACTCTGTTATCTAAAGTATCTGATACTATTGTTTGACTCATTAGGACACATTATGCG